CCCTACAGCAGATAAGCAAGTAAATGCAATGTAAAACATCAAAAGCAGTTCATGAACAGGTGTTAATTGCAAAATTAAAAGCACCTAACCAGAAGTTAGCATTTCTCACAGAGGCATAGAACAAGTCTGTGCAACCAACTGCCCTATCTTGTCAACAAGTACATAACTTTTTTAACAGCAGCTAAAATCATCTGAGAAAGTAAATGAGGCAAAATATTTTAGAGAGGTGAACTCTTTCATTAGACCAATAGATGAAGCCAAGGTGAAAAACTATCCCCAAAAATGGATACAACTTTCAGACACTAATGTCCTTCTTAGCTAAAATGATGTTTTTCTCAGAGATCAAATGAGCTACATGCTGTCAGTAGTTGCAATCAAACCTCAAACTGAGCACAAAATCATGGGACTTTCTGAACTATAACGCAAGGCTCAGTTCATTTGTCTCTGAAAACAAAGCAGACAAATTAACAGAGAGAAGGCAAGATGCATTCAATGCATTTCTTTGTATCATATGATAACACAACAAATTCACAGGAAAAAGTTACTATTCTCACCTCTGTATGTCTAACTGAAGTCACAGAATTGAATTATCACCTTCTATACAGAAATTTTTTGCACCTTTATACAATTCTCGAAGTACTCCAGAAATAACATCTGCTTAAAACAGACACTACTACCCAGGGCTCTTGCCAGTTAGCAAAACAGCTTTATGCTCTAGGGCCCCAACATCATAAACACAGTGGTGACTCTTGCAATGTCCATACTAAGCAGGACCCCAAAACTATGGCAGGAATCCTACACGTTAGGACCAGTGCTATTTGGAACTATCAGGAACATCACAGGTTATAACTAGCTCTATTCACCTTTGGCTATCATAAAATTCACTTCAAAAGAAAATAATTTAAAAAGCAACTACTTTTTAAATGTATTATCATGCTAGTGACCTAGCAATATCCTAGGCCTGTAATGAATTTTTTCCAGCCAGTCACATTTAATGGGAATAGGCACAGCCCAGAATGACTCTACACTTTCTGATTTCAGTGGTTCTGGGGCAACACATCCGATTTTATTCCTGACTCTGCCAACAAACAAATAGAAATGCTTGCTGGCTACGCACAAATGTGCACACTGGGAATGTGAGATTGGCTTCCTGGAAGGACAGAGACAGCAGGGAAAGCAACAGTGGTCATCAGCATCTTCCACAGGCAGAGGGGGCTGAAGCACAGGACAGGGAAGGCAGCACCAGCTCTCACCAGGGATGCATTACGGTACAGAGGGCTCCAAAGAGGCTCCTGTGAAAGGCTGTCCTGACCACGGGAATCCCCGAGGAGTGAGCGACCTGCAGCTTAACTGAGCTGTGCCAGGGCCACTGCAGATGTGCAGGCTCCCACTGCAGAAGCATAGGCTCCCAGCCATGACCCACCTCTGAGATGGGAGAAAAAGCGATGAAGAGCACGCCTTGATCATTGCTGCCCCAGGGAAGAGGGGCTGCAAAATCCCTGGGATGGAGGAAGTGGGATGTAGAAGAAGTAGAAGAGGATCCCAAGCATGGATGTGTTCCACCTCAGCTCTGTGCAGGGGCACCCAGAGAGCAGGAGAGGAGCAAAGGGTGACTGAGGATCCTGTGCCTCTGTACCAGCTCCAGGACGCTATGCACATCTCTCCGACTCACTGACAGCACTGGTTTTAATGCCTACTCCCAATGAGAGGGGAGCACAGGGAGAGACAGGACTTCTAGACCCATGGAGGCCACACTTATTCTTGTGGCCATTTAGAAGACAGTTAGGCATCCAGTTACTATGCTGCTTTCTTCCTACCCAAGCCCTCAACTCCCTCAAATACTAGAAATATTAAACCAGAAAAAAAGAAAGTTGTGGTAGATACTCCACAGTGAGAGCCTGTCAAACGTTTCCACACGTGTCAGTTGGCTGGTGCTGATGAAGCAGCAATGTGACCCTGGGAAACCATATTTGTGCTAAACAGCACGTGGGCCATCCTGACTGCACTGAGGTCTCCAGCTTGCAGCTTTACCTTTCATTAGAAACATTCTTCTGTCACAAACTGACACTTAAAATGTATTTTTATGTCCAAATTGCTGGTTAAGGCATTACAATGCTTGGCATCAAATCAGCATGCACAAGAATGCTGCTAGACACATGTCATTAGCACAGAGGTGGAATATTTTGTATTCTCCCTAGTCCCTGCCCACCCCCAGCTGCGTGAAATCGCAGCAGTGTTAAAATTACTCAGCTGTTGGGGTTTTATTGTTGGGTGTGGGGTTGATTTTGGTGTTTTCTCTTTTGGTGGGAGGTTTTGTTGAGGGTTTTTGTTTTCTGTTTTGTGGGGTTTTCTGGTTTTTTTCTTGGGTTTTTTTTTTTTTTTTTTTTTTTTTTTTTTTTTTTTACAAAGAAACACTACAAAACACCCAACAGTCAATAATTCAAGACCTCTTCATATCTCTAGAAGCTCTTTGAAGCTGCCATGTTCCATTACCTGCCTGCTCTTCCCAATTTTGTACAAGACATTATGTCTGTCTGGAAAGTGATCTCATTTAATACCAATTAGACAATCCATAAAAAGCTACTTTTAGCACACCACGATAGCCACTGTCTTTCTGGGTCCCATTTTCCCATCTTTTTTGAGCACCATCTAAATGCAAACTCCTTTAATGCAAACCTAAAAGGCATTCTAATACAGCCCACTATAATAAAGACATCATTACTTTAAGTACACATTTGGTTGCACAAAACTAAAAGGCACAGAAGAAAAAAGCCTACCTCTTTCTTAGGAAACCTTGTTGGGAAATGAAGCCACTCATAAGCTGTTTTTCTGGTGATGCTGGGATCAAGAATCCTGATCTGACTGGACTTGTATATCATATTCAGAGCTGGTTTCTTCCAAAAGCCACTAGCACTCTGTAACAGGCAAGTAAATACACACTTTTAATGGCTATAAACAGTTGAATTTAGATTTGTAGCAACTCTTAACCAGAGTAAAATCCAAGGACACAAGGTTAAGGAAGAAGCAGAGTGTTGAACCTCACAAAGTTCAACAGAAACAGGTGTTCCTACAACAGGAAAACGCACTGCAGTGGCAGAGCCTGGGGCCAGCTGGCTAGGAAACAGCTTTGCAGAAAGGCCCCTGATGGACAACACACACCAACAGCATGCCCTGGGGGCAGTAAATGCTCACTGTGTGCTTGGCCACGTTAGTAAGAGGCAGACAGAAGTTATCATGCTCAAGTACTTTGTGCTGTGCCCTTCTGCAGTCTCACAAACAGTGTGTTGGGCTCCCCTGTGTCAGAGAGTGCATCAAACAGCAGAAGGCCACTAAAACAGCCAAGGGATCAGAGCTCACAGCAAACAAGAAGCATCTGAGGAGGCTGTTCATCCCATCTTCAAGGGACAGTGAGAAGGAAGGTGTGGGCATGTGGTGGTTTACAAATAGACATAGTATCAGACTCTTCTCAGAGGTGCACAGTGAAAGGATGAGGAGAAAGTCTTTCCTGTGAGGGGGCTGCAGGACTAAGAGCTTGCAGAAGTATCCTTGGAAATACTCAAAACTTACCTGGACATTGCCCTGAAAACCTGGAATGGCTTGGAACTTGGCCCTACTTCCTTTCAAAAAGATTTTGGACTAAAGACCTCCTGAGAGAGGTCCCTTCCAGCACTATTCTGCAATTCCACCAAGTGGTAAAACATTCTGGGAAATGTCTGGAGCATGGATGTCAAAATATCAAAACAGCGCTAGGAGGAGGATGAAATAATATTTCTCAGAGGAAAACTGCTTTGTGGTGAGGAACTGATCAAATATGTGCATTGGAAAGAAGACAGAGGCATTGCTGGTAAAGGGATATTAAACAGACTGACTAGGAGAACCAGCACCCCCCTCAGCTAAGAGGCCTAAGGTTAAAGCAAACATATTTCCCATGAGAGGGGTGTAGCAAGATGAGCCAAGGTGCATGAATAATTGAACTCACTATTTTCTGACCACCTAGTATCTCCCAAAGCCACTTCAAGTCACGTGTTTTGAAGACGATGAGAACAACAGTCGTGTTAGGGTCATAGTGGATGGGATCTGAGAAGATAGATTCTGGGTAAGAAAGGCGGAAAGTCGTCCGTCTCCCAACATCCTCTTCGTACCCTATCACGGGGCCATTATTCATTCTGCAGAGGACAGGGACACAGAGAAGGCAATGACTACTTCACCCACATCCTTACCATGCAGTGGCTGGTACATGCACCCGTCTGCAGGACAGGCAGCATTTCTGCACACAGGAAAGTTTAACAGCCCAGCATTTACTTATCACATTATAGATGAGCAATTATCAGATACACTCACCCTCTAAAATCAGAGGGATCAAGTACATGTGGGAAATTGGCCAAGGTGGTTTAGAATACAATCACACAATTGCTTATCATGTGTCATTTGAGCAGAAGGCCTTTCGATTTGGCTCAAACACAGAAACTAGAGAAGGGCAAAGAGTATCTGGCTTGGAGAATTATCCATTGCTCCAGGTACACAAAATGAAAAGGAGATACCATTTACCTTATTATGACATCGTATGAGTCAATTTTCTCCCCTAAAGTCTTGTTTCGAAGCACTCCTCCATTACCGACCACCACACACCGGCGACAGGCAATGCTGTGGAACAGACAGAAGTTTTGATATTCATTACTTCCTTGGCTTCATATTAATGATACATCTGCATTTAACTGGCTCATTTGCTAACTGAGGTCCTGTATCTTTTACAGTCCTTGGCCCCTACAAAGCAGACTCAATCCTGTATCATACATTATGGCTGATTTCAAAAAGGAGCTGCACTATTTCACGGATTGACTGAGTCAGGAATTGGCTTCTCCCGTGTGAAACTGTTTTTACACATATCCTTTTTCTAGTGGTTTCTGTTTAAGATCATCTAACCAGTTGGCGATACGGATGCCATTAGACAAATTACCTTCCATAGTGCTTTAAACTTGTCCCAGGCTGGGGGTATATCAACCAGGACAGCTTTCCCAGACATGCTCTAACTCAAATTAAGGTGCTTCTACAATATTGTACAACTGCACAACTCAGGAGACCTCCAGCACAAGTTAAAGCAGGAAGATTTATGTTCACAATTTACCTTATAGGCCTATGAGCTGTACATGTGAAAAACGCTAGCCAAATGACATATGATGGCTCTTCAAATGACTATGACGTTGATTTCTCTTCCTCTGCTTTGACAGTTCTGTCTAAACATGTTTACACATGTGCTGAAGTGCATGTTGTCATGATGTAACAGGACTGATCCACTTGAACAGAAGTTGCATTCTTGTATGACCAGACTCAAATTAGACAGCATTGCTAAGTACATAAAATGCTGTGATCTGAAAATAATATCTTACACTACAGCAAATCAAAACAGTAATTCCTTTGAAATTTGGAGCATACTGAGGGTTTAAAAGCACCAAAAAAGGTATAAGGAAGATGTTAAACTTGTAAAAGTAAATTCTAATGGCAAGATTTTTCAAAGTTTTCCCAGGTTTTCTTAGTGCATATTTTGGTCTCTACTGTCTTATTTCAATGCTAGCAAAATGTGTGCTTTGGGGGCTCACAGACAGGCTTGCTGGTTTTTTACTCAAAACTGTCATTTTAGGGAAGGTTTACATCCAATATATAAGACTGCAAACTCCTCCTTACAGAATAAGGACACCTTTTTTATTGTAAAAATGCTTCTTTCTTTAGAGCAAAAGCTGTTCAATTTTGTTGCAGCAGCAACAATGGGAAAATAAAAATGCTACTATTTTCTTCAGGCTCACAGTTTACCAAGGTCACCTCCCAACTTCCCACTCCCATGGTTTTTTCTTCAAGTAAGAAAAAGGCTCTAGGACATTTTTTTACTCTCGGTTCAGGACACCAAGATTGTGTCCCAAATAATATTATAACCTGTATTAAATGCCCAGTGTGGCATTTTATGCAGACTAATTAACATCTTTCTCCTCAGATAGTCCAACTCAGTTTTTTTCAGCTGAGAGTATTATTCCATGTCAACAAAAACAGCCTCTTCCAGCTGAGACTGACCGACATCTCAATGTACAAAGCAGTTCCCTGTATTTCCTACAGAATTAACAACA